TAGATGTCTTTTTCGCACAGTACAATAGGGGGAGGTGAACTTCGCCTGTAGCTGCCAAACTCTTGCTGTAGACAAACGAAACACGGAGGTGTAAGCTGCACGTAGAGTGGTGAACAAAGTGGAACAACACAGCTAACAGTTGGATTGTATTTGCTAACCTTCAGATGCAGTCTGAACTTCTAGGAAAGTCACTGCGGTCGGTTGAGTACAATATCCTAAAGTGTGTTTAGCCAACAGATAGATGAATCTGTCGAACCTATAATGGGAAGGTGACAGATATCGATACCTTAACTAATGAATGACTCCATGCGGTTCTCCACGCTCTACTTCCTTGTTGATCAATGACCCCTTCTTCCTGGTGCGGTAGATGACTGATCGAGTCGTCGAATAATTTATACTACCGACAAAACATGAATTGAATATTCATCACTTTAGAGATGGGACTAGTGGAGCGCGATTAATAATCTTTCAAAGGATTTTTTAAATACTCAGCCACAAAAGTACGCATACATAAGTAAGAGAATGACAGATTTAAAACATAACACAGGCAGACGAAGGTAATGATAAAAAACGAGTGATAGACTGATCAAATTGTTTATAAGACAGAGATAAAAAATTTGGAACAGTAAGTGAGAATAAAAAGATTTAGTCAGTCCTAGATTTATCACAATGAAACACGTTTAACTTCACTGGTCCTTCTTCGGCTCGCTCTGTTCCTGCGTCGCTGTTGAAACAGACTGGTAGGGTCCAGAAGCCTTTGATCGTAATCCGATCAAACGGGCCCACAACTTTGCACTCAAACGTGAGAGTTTCGATCCGGCATCTGCCGGTAACTTGCCGACGACTTGTGTCGTTGTCACTTTGTGCACGGAACCGAAAAAAACAGCCACCACAGAACAGACAATGCACAGCGCGTTGAAAGGCATGCTGAAATCCGGCGTGGGCATGGTCACTAGCACAACCGGGCTGTAGATTCGCACGAAACCGTCACCGGGTCGTAGGTGCGTCCGACCCATGGCTGATTCATTACTAGTGGTGATGATGGAGAGGGA